GTGTGTGTGTGTGTGTGCGTGCGTGTATGGGCACGCATGTCTGTGTGCGTCTGCGTGTGCATGTACTTGCGTGTGCGCGTCTGTGTCTAAGCATTTTTATACTTGTTAATGAAGAATTGCTCAGCTATCTATTAATCGCATGTAGCTAGTAGTTACACTAATCTATTATGTAAACGCGTGACTGCTCTTCGCTTCAACGCCTGTCTGGGAATCAAGTTGCTATACTAATGATATTTTTGTAGCTGTGAAATATTGCTGTAATGGTTTGTGGGGGCGAGCTGCACGTAATTACAAACACCATTTCCGATTTCACTTAGTGTTGTCATACAAAATTTTAGTTTTTAAGCCTAATTCCCGTTTATTAACATGGTCCGAGTTTATACGTCATACCTCTACTGCGCTTGTATAAATGCCATTTATGACTTTTCTCATTCTAGAGATTGCCACAAATCTCTTCGCAGACTAGATCTCTTCCGTTTTTCATCAAACTAGATTATTAGACATTGAGCCAATCTACGGAACAATGGCTGCCTTCAGAAATGCGGTCCATCTAACGCCACCGATGACAGAATGATCAATCTTGTACCAACAGTCTCTTCAATTAGGTTTATATAATATGTGTGTTGATGGGGATCTTTATTCTGCTAAATTTAGTAACAACGCCTGACAATAGCAATTTATTTTCTACTTTCAGTTGGGAGAATTAAAGTTAATAGCGCCATAAATAAAACGCTAACGTGGCGGACACTAGAAGATGAGTTATCGTACGTGCAGCACGGTGGTGAGTGGTGCCCCCAGGACTCGCCTGCTCTCTGCTTGCCGCGCCACAAGGTGGCCATCATTGTTCCGTACAAGAACAGAGAAGATCAGCTGCTAGTCTTCTTACATCACATACATCCGTTTTTACAACGACAGCAGATTCACTACGGCATATACGTTGTTGAGCAGGTATATGGCGATTACAGGTAGCTAGAGTCCACGGGCCTACCGATATATGGCTGTACACGTATATGTCAACAATCTAATATTAAAGGGGGTATTACCTGGATCGCACTACTGGGAAAACGGTTGAGCACATTAACTATTCACCATATTCGAGTTGATCTCCATCTATCAGCGCATGCTGTGTGACAGCGGCAAGCGCAGCTGCACCGCCTCAGGAACTCCTCTAAACGATGGCACAACAGTGCCATGTCTAGTGCAGGCTAGTGTCAACAGCTAGCAACCCCCTATAAAGGCGGTTGAAGTCGCTAAGCTACATGGTTGTATATGAGTGTCCGTAATACATCCACGAAAACAATGCACAAGTTCTTTCTGGTTAATCTTGTAGAAGCAATAGTGGCATTGGCTCAATTATCAGTCAGTATTTCTAGCCGATCCCTCCTCGTTAGTTCAGAGCGTCAGAATCATCCTTGTGCGTTCTAAGAATCTAGACATCATATCACCTCGCTATTATACACTCCCCGTGCCTCCACCGTACCTTGAATGCGGAGAAGCGCGTGGAGCAACCGTAACCTAGGTGTTGTGCCCGCGTGCTTTCCATTGTACAGGCAAACACTACGAAGGAGTTCAACAAGGGTCGCCTGATGAACGCCGGCTTTGTAGAAGCGATGCGACAACACAATTGGACGTGTGTGATCGTCCACGATGTCGACCTGCTACCTGAGAACGACCTTAACACGTACCGCTGTGACCTTCACAACGTCCGCCACATGACGGTCGCCGTGGACCGCTACCAGTACAAGTACGTGAGTATTAGCTATAGCGTATATAGACAGTACACTAGCTATGCTGGATCCGGACGCCTGGTATACAGGTTGTAATAGCATACACAAACGCACGCACGCACGCACCAACGCACACGCCTTGTATCGATCATATGATTAATAAGTATGTATGATTAATAAGTATGTATGAGGAGCGCGTAATGTCATGCTTGCGTTTTAATTTTGGATAAGACATGAAGGTGGCTTGACGTGACATACACATCAGGAGTGTATAATAGGGAGGAGTGTGACATCAATAAACAAGGGAAATTCGTCATTTACTAGCCTTATATAATACCTACGATTT